AGGCTCTCCGCTTCCCAAAGGAGAAGGCAAAGGCCACCGCCGCTGTTGCACAGGTACATGCCCTCCCTGCCTTTTCAGATGGGAAGATCTCCTGGCTATGGGACACCGCTGCTGGGAGACATTTGTTCGGCAAACAAGCCTTAACTTCAAGCATGAGACAACATGCCGCCCCCTCGCAGAACCCCGTGAACTTCACGACAGGGGGGGGTGCCCAACAAAGTGTGAAATCTTTGGGGTTTAAAGGCAGTCCCATCCTTGATGGAGAAGAGGTCTACATCTTGAATGAATGCCCCCCGGCGCAGTCCATTGGTAAGACTGTTATGGATAAGGGGTATATGTTCATATGGGACCCACGCGAGCAGGTACCATACCTAGTACCGCCCAGCGTGGTCCCGAAATGCAGGCTTCGTGTTCCAAGAAAGCATCGGATATGCGCCAGCCGAGTTGTGGAGTACGTTCCCCAGTACGACGAAGAAGTCACCCCTGTTGACTTTGTTCCACCAGACCGGTTGCAACCAATGGGTGCAGTTGACGCCTCCCCGGCCTCCACCAATCATGAAGATTCCATGTTTTCTGATGGGGAGCTTTCCACACCAAGTGTGGCGGATGATGTCGTTAGCGAACCTATGGACCTCGATTCCGATGTTTCACCAAAATCCAATTCTAGTCAAAGTAAGGGTTTTATAGCCGCTGCCCCTAGTTCGGGCGCGGAGAGGGTTCCTCCACATCCCGATGACGACAAGACATTGTTGGAGATTGCGGATGTCGAGTTGGATGGCACACCCGAGGCGCTAAAAGCTGCAGCATTCGAAGAGCCACATATTTTAACCCACTATCCTAAGAACCCTTATTGTCCTGTTTGTCAAATTTCTAAGTCCACTAGTAAGAGGGTGGCGAGAAAGCCCGACACCCGAGATGATGACATGATTGATCCTCCCAAAGGACCATTCGAGCAACTGTCAACTGACGATGTGATCATGGCCAAGGGCGATGACTTCGCCGGCAAGGGGACGGGTGGGATTAAGGTGTTCCACATAGTCAGAGACACCTTTTCTGGTGCAAGGATAGCCTATCCCATGGTAAACAGGACAGCTAGTAATCATGCCAAGAACTTTAGGCATTTCTTGGGGCTAAGAGCAAACGAATTAGCATCGTGTGTCCTCATCAAAATGGACGAAGCAGGCGAGTTGGAACAAGCCGCTCATGAGGTGGGTTTGCTCCCCGAAGTCTCACTTCCCAATAGGTGGCCCCATAACGCCACACTAGAGCGAGACATTCGTGAGGAAAAAGAGTGTTGTCGTGCAATCCACATGCAATCTGGGTTGCCATATGAGTTTCATACATACTCGTTTCCATATGCCTGCATGTCGATGTCGTTCGATCGCCCGTCATTGTCAGACCCAGCCAAGTCACAATGGGAAGCCCTAACTAAGTCCAAGTTCGATGGCATTCGCAGATGTTTTGGCCAACTGGTGTATTACCGAGATCGTAAGGTAAGCAAGAGGACTCTCGAACCAAACATGTCGCCTGGTCTCTTCATGGGATGGCGCATCGAGTCGGGTTTCCGTTATCGTTATGTAGCTAGAATCATGGATTACATGGATTTTAAAGTTAGTAAGCGCCCAAATGTGTTAGATGTGCCTGAGGCCGAAATCTACACAGAGGAGGGACCGCCCATTTTTCCCATGGCCTCAACGAAGTTGAGGCATCTCCATGGTGGTTCGTTAGGCATTTTGGACGACATTGCCAAACTAGACATGCCCGACTATCCCATGAAAGAGGTTCCCTTTGGGGAAGAGGGTGAAGGCGCTGCGCCGCCGACACCCGTAGGGCCTAAGTCCCGAAGTGTATACATAACGCTAGATCGAGTAATCCGATTCAGTGAAACTCCTGGCTGCAAAGCCTGCGAGCGCAAGACACGTCATCACACCGATGAATGCCGAAAGCGTTTCGCACGACTTGTTGAAGAGGAGAAGGCCGAACTTTTGGCAAAGCGAAAGGAAGGAATCACTATTGAAGAAATTCCTCCTGTAGCCCCAGAAGATCCGCCTCCACCACCGCCAGCGGACCCTCCGCTGGAGGCACCAGGGGATGCCAGCGCTACGCCGACGATAATAGCCGGCCTTTCGATAACCCCGCACACCACATATAGGACCCAACTAGTACAAACTAGACCCGAAAGTGGCGTGCCTGTGTTTGGGATGCCTGCAATGACCAAAGCATCACAAGTAGGTCAAGTTAAGAAGAAGAGAAGTAGAGGTAAGAAGAGATCACCTAAGTTCAACCGTTGTATGTTCGAGTTTGCGTGTGCTCCTGATTCTCAGATGCATAAGACATTTCTAGAGTTGGGAATCCCACATGTACCCCTGAGCAAGGAACACCTCGACCTGACAAACGCCGACATGCAGGACCAACTCCATAACCATTTGGAGACCTGTGAGGAGGTGCCAGACCTGTGGGCATCAATACCATGTACCTCAGGGTCCCCATGGCAAAGGGTCAACAGGTCCAAGGGAGGTGCACGATTTGCCCGTGTACACGCACAGCAGATTCGTGAGTCCAAGCGCCTTTTCGCGGAATTCGAAAGAAGCGCAGGGATCGTCCTTAGCAGGGGGGGCACTGTGACCTTTGAATGGCCAAAGGGCTGCGAAAGTTGGAGTCGCCGCGACGTCCAGTCCTTCTTTGACTCGCATCCAGAATTCCAACAAGTTGAGTTCGATGGTTGCGCAGTAGGAGTTATATCCACTAAGGATAGACCCATTAAGAAGACTTGGAGACTCATGACGACAAGCCAGCGCATCGTAGATGCTTTTTCGCAGCATAAATGCACGCACTCCCCACATGAACACGATCACGCGGTTGGGTCCCAGACCGCAAAGACCGCCTTTTACCCTCCACGAATGGTAGGCGAAATAGCCAGAGCATTGTACCCCCAGAAGGCTAACCTAGCTCCGGCTCCTGCCATGCCATGTGTGGTCCCAGCCGCTGCCTCACAGGCGCGGGAAGAGGAACATAGGGTGAAAGAGCAGTCCTTGAAGCACATCTCCGCACTCGCAGGAGCCGATGCATTTGCATTGGCCGTCGAAACCGACGAAGTTGCAAACCAGATGGCAGAATGCCTGATGGACTTGGAGACTCTCGTTCGAGATGCATTCAACATTCCTGGAGAACCTGAACATCACGGTAGGGTGCACGCCATGGTAACTAAGCTGCTTTCAAGAGCAGAAATGTTAGCGAACCCTAAAGCCGTTGAGAAAGTAAAGGAAGAAGCAACATCCCTGACCGACATCGGTACATGGGATCTTGATTCGGTTCAGGAATATGATGCAGTCAAGGCCGAAGCAAAGGCTAGCAAAGTGTCCGTACACTTTGGCCGTCTAATGACTATCGCCTCAATCAAATTTTGGGAATTAGCAGAACACCTCCACAAAATGAAAGGGCGAATAGTATATCGCGGCGACTGTGCACGTGACGAGAACGGCGTCGCCGCCGTCTACGAGGAGTTGGGCGCGAACCCAACCTCTGTACAGGGATTGAACGCCTGTCTAGCCTACGGCTCCTTGCCGGGACATGCCTGCACGGCGGCAGACGCCGTGAAGGCTTATGTTCAAGCCTTTCTCAAAAGTAAGTACAAAACGTGGATCGAACTTCCACCTGAACTCCGCCCGGAGTGGTGGAAGTGAAAATTCACCCGTCCAGTTGTACTTCTAGTGAGGGCACTGTATGGACATCCCGATGCAGGCGGAATGTGGGAAAACCATTTAAAGAGGATTTTAAAGAAAATGAACGGCGAGGAGATTCCTGAGTACCCCGGAAATTTTTATTTCAAAGGGACAGGTCTCATGTTATCTACGTACGTAGACGATTTGACATTATCCGGACCGTCTGAGCACCATGCTCCTTTCTGGAACCAGCTAATGTCAGAGGTAAACGTAGAGCCTCCCGAAACCATTTATAGAATCCTCGGAAGAAACCATGTTTATGCCAGTTTCGACAAAGCACAGGGTGAGGAGAACGCTGCTTTAGGCGCGGCCCCCGATGCATTGATTTTCGACATGAAGGACTATGCCCAACAGACCATAGACCTTTATAAAAGTGTTGCTAAAGTCGATAAAATCAAACCTGCACAAACACCCTTTGTCCCCGATGGAACATGGCCAAAGGAGGACGAGGACTCTCCTGGAGAACTTGCCCCCAAAGCATGTTCAATACTAATGAAGGCCCTTTGGTTGGCCCGCCTGTCTAGACCGGATATCCTTAAGCCCATTAACGACTTAGCAACTAAGGTCCAAGCC